TGCCCCACTCATTTGATACAGCACCTCCAGCGTGCTCGTCTGCACCTGCCGGGGTTCAGTTTACAGGGGCGACTTAGTGACGGGACGGAGAAGTCAGTGCCGTGAAGGGAGGATTTGTTAGCTCTCAGGAGAAGGGGACACTGCACGTCCCAGAAGCCACGTGGGGAATCAGTAGGAAAACCGTGACCGTGGGAAAGCATGGCCCAGAGCACTTACTGGGGTTTCTCTGGGCACCGAAAGCGAGAGCAGGTGACCGCGCAGGGTGGCCGGCTGCAGTGCTTCCAGCGGCCCTGGTTGTGTGGAAGCTGGCGCTTGGTTGACGGAGGGCGGGGAACGGCTGGCTGGGTGTAAGAGTTAAAGGGGTGGGGAGGCTGTGGCTTCGGGTGTTTCCATGAAAGGTGCGCCGCCTGGCAGCTGTGCCGGAATTAGCCGGCTCTGGGAGGGGTAGGCCCCAAGGTGTCAGAACCTTGTGAAACAGTAAACTTTTTTAAAAGAATGATTAACTAATTGGTCCTCCGATTAGGGAAGCTTTGGGGAGAGGATGGTGGAGAGTTTTACACAGCATGGCGTAAGCTGCCCCGAAGCGTACAGAAAAGCATTGAGTGAGGAGGAGCCCAGGTAGGCATGGGAAGTACCTGCAGGAGGCCCACAGCCGTTCCCATTTGTATAGCTTCAGCTAAGAAAGTCCATCTGAAATTGGGGGTTGCCTAACGTCTTCGGGAAGTTGTGCTGTGTGCTAAAGCAGAAAGAGTGTGTGTGTGTGTGTGTGTGTGTGGTATTTGTGTGTAAAAGGAAAAAACTCTTGTTCTCAACACTCCAGACATCACACGTGGGGTTTCCACCCAAGCAGCTCTGGCATTGGCCAGCAGGATTCGCACCAGGGAATCCTCAGGCTCATGGACAGCCTCTCCAGTTCCCACCACCCACCTGAGATAGGGGTCACAGCCCAGGGTGTCCCCCCTGCACATCTGGCTATCAATTGGAGGTTCCCATGACCCCTCCTGGAGTTTGGTAATTTGCCCAAACAGTGCTCAGGACTCAGGACAGCACCTCACTTCCTGTCACCTGGTTATTGTAACGGCAGCAACCCGGACAGCACGGGGGCACAGGGCAGGCGTGTAGGACGGGGGCTGGGCTTCCCTGCCCTCTGCGGCTGATCACCCTCCCGCCCCTCAGCGCTAACCACCTGGAGGCCTCCTCGGAGGCTTAACTGAAATCACTGGCCACGGGGGTTACACTCCACCTCCAGCTCCTCCCCCACCGAGGTCAGGGTGAGCTGCTGTCCTGATCCTCTAATCCCGTGGTTGATTCCAAAAATCACCTCGTGAACAGGGCGGTAGAAGGGGCTTATTATGAATAACAAAAGCGCCCTGGCCAGTTTTGCTCAGTGGAGAGAGCGTCAGCCTGTGGACTGAAGGGTCCCAGGTTCCATTCCAGTCAAGGACATGCCTGGGTTGCCGGCTCCATCCCCAGTGTGGGGCGTGCAGGAGGCAGCCGATCAATGATTCTCCCTTATCACTGATGTTTCTCTCTCTCTCTCCCTCTCCCTTTCTGAAATCAATAAAAATATATACAACAAATGGTGCTCCTTTCATTTTTAATCTGGGACGTTCTGGCTAAGGGTGGAAAGCAGCACCGCACTCACTGACTGTCCTGTGGTGGCTGGCAGTGTCTCGTAGTCCATGAACTCGATGACTGTTCACTGAGCCCCAGGCTCCCAGTAGCCAGGGATTCTGGGGGAGAGGGGACCTTCAGCACCGATCATCTGGAGGGGCCACCCTTCCTGCAGGTGGAACACACCAGAGGGCTGTTCACCACTTAATCCTCACTCTAGGACAGTGATGGTGAACCTATGACACGCGTGTCAGGTGACACACGAACTCATTTTTTTGGTTGATTTTTTTGTGTTAAATGGCATTTAAATATATAAAATAAATATCAAAAATATAAGTCTTTGTTTGACTATGGTTGCAAAGATCAAAAAATTTCTATATGTGACAGGGCACCAGAGTTAAGTTAGGGTTTTTCAAAATGCTGACATGCCGAGTTCAAAAGGTTCGCCGTCACTGCCCTAGGATGTTTTCCCATTGATTTTTAGAGAGTTGGGGTGAGGGGGAGAGAAACAGAAACATCAACTGGCTGCCTCCCGGATGGGAATCAAACATGCAACCCAGGTGTATGCCCTTGACCCTTTGGTGTTCTGGCGGATGCTTTAACCACTGAGCACACTGGCCAGGGCTGTTTAACTACAGTTGGGTCTGTGGGGTCTCATTTTTCCAGCTAGTGTATAAGTACCAACATTTTATTTTAATGATGTATTGCGTCAGAGCATCTGTGCCCAATACGGGATATTTTCTGACAGTGGGAACTTAGGGAAATTCAGGCAAAGCTACAGTTAAAGTGAGGCATACCATTTTTTCCTATTTAGCTGCTTTTTAAGATTGGGGAGTACAGCGTTTACATTTAGTGGGGCCCCAGCTATAACTGACTATCTTTGCTTTTTTTCCCCTGTGTCTCAGGGTTAGTTTTTTGTTACTGGTTTGATTGTTTGATTTTTATTGATTTCGGAGAGGAAGGGAGAGGGAGAGAGAGATAGAAACATCAATGAGAGAGAATCATTGATGGGCTGCCTCCTGCACGCCCCGCACTGGGGAAGGAGCCTGGCACCTGGGCATGTGCTCTGATCAGGAATCGAACCATGACCTTCTGGTTCATAGGTCAATGCTCAACCACTGAGCCACACCGGCCGGGCTACTCTTAGTTTTTAGTGTGTGTCCTGGTTTTTTTTTTAAAAAAGGGCGGGATGGGTAAGGGCCTGGGCCTCTAGGCAGCAGCCTCTTCCTGAGATGATCCTGGCCTGAAGCGAATGTAGTCCTTTCTTCCCTCTTCCCCGTTTTCTCCTTTTTTTTTTTTTCCCCTTTCCTTCTAAACAATCTTTTTGGGGGGTTGGGGGGGATGAAGGGGTTACCTCTCTGTCCCTGACCATTTTTCTTTCTTTGGTTTGAATATTTACCTGACAGGCTCCTGGCAGTCCCAAGTGGCCTCTGCTGTGCGTGGCGGCCCGGTTTCTAGGGTGTCCCAGCTCCTCAAAGGGGCAGGGCTTGCATCTGGGGAGCAATCAGTGTCTGACTGCTGGGCCTTAGGGGGGAGACAGGGACAATGCTGACGGGCAGCTGCACTCAGACTTGCCAAACTTACCGGCCGGGGGTAGACAATCGCAAATGAATTGAGAAACCTCTTCAGTTTCAGGGGGAGTAGAAACAAGATATTTCTTGCTCTTTATGTTTTACTAGAGGCCCAGTGCACGGATTTGTGGACTTGTGGGGGGTATGGCCTGTGGGGATTGGCCTGCTGTGGGAGCCGCTCATCCTAGTCAGCCGAGTGGTGCTCCCACTGTGGGAGCTCACTGACCACCAGGGGGCAGCTCCTCAGTTGAGCGACTTCCCCCTGGTGGTCTGTGTGCATCATAGTGACTGGTTCTGGTCATTCCGCCCGTCAGTAGCTGGGCTTTTATATATATAAATATAGATGTTTTATTATACACTGAACCACCAGCCTCCATGGATGGGGTCCCTTATACCTTGCTGGGTCAGGAACAAACTGCAACAGCAGGAAGACAAGCAGCAGTGACAGAATTTTCCCTTGAAACAGTTTAAGCCTCTTTTGTGCTTTGGCATCTGAGGAGGAAGTGACACTTGAGCTGAGACCCAAAGAGTTAAGCAAGAAGAAGCAAGGTGCGGCGAGAACAGCTTCCGTGTAGAAGAGCTGACACGTGCAAAGGCCCTGAGGTCACAGGGAGATAAACTCCTGCCAGAGCCGAGGGAGGTCTCATCTCCTTCATCTTCCCTCTGCCCCCTCCCCGAGCCGTGCTCTGAGCTGACAGTAGACTCAAGTGAACATTTGCTTGGTGACAGCGGGTGGGTCCTGGGCTGTGGTCAGGACCTGCCAGAGGAGCCTCCTGTGGGTTGGGGTGCCTCTCACCGACTTCTCTGTACGCATCCTGTGTCTTTTTCCCCTGCATCTGAGCTTGGCTGCAAGTGACAGACCCGCTCGGTCTTCACCCTCCAGGAAGTTACTACCACACTGACAAGCGCAGCGGTGGGGCGGGCGCCTGTCTGGGTGGGTGCCAACCCCCGGTCAGTGTCTTTGCTTCCTCCTCGGTCCTTAGGCAGTCACCTCACAGTCCCAGGATGCTGCCGGACAAGCAGAGCGGAATGAAACTCTCCATGGAGTGGGGGTGTAGGTCACCTGCTGCCTCAGACTATTAGCCACTTGCAAGTTGGTGGAGACCAGGACTTCTCAACCCTCTGTCAACACCAGACTCGCCTGGGAGGTTGTTTAATCTCCTGAGATCCAGGCCTCGCCTGCAGAGACCTGACATCCTAGGGGTTGGGTGCGTGGGTGGTGCGGACCCACTCACTGTGATTAATAGAAAACGCCTGAAGGAAGGGTGGTTTCCTCAGGTCCGGGCAGCAACTGAACAGACTTGGGACCCATGCGACGGGGTCGAGGGGATGGTGCTGTCCATCCAGCCAGCATCGCCGCTCAGTCTTCGGGTCTCAGTGACGGCGTTTGTGTCCTGGGTTTCCGGTCTTGGCATTTTTGTGTGGATGGAGCAGCTTCCTGCTGAGGTTGTCCACACCCTGCAGTCCCGGACTCGATGGAGAGGTTTTCCTTCCTTTTACACGTATCCTCACGTCCTCTTTCCTTCTCCATGAACAGGGTGCCCTGTTCCCAGACCGCAGCTGATCTGCCAGCCGGAGTCGGGGCGGGAGCTGTGGATGGTGAAGACAGATCTCTCCCGAGGCGCCTGTCCAGGTAGGAGCCGAGGCCCGGCAAACGGAGGCCCTGCCACCCTGAGGCCTTGAGGAGACCGCTGGCCGCGGGTCCCTGGAAAGCTGCTTGCTGTGGCCTGTCTGCTGGTTTGGAAGCCTCGGAGCCCTTTGACCTGTGGGCCCTCTGACCTCATGGAGGATGGAGGTGTACGCGCTGAGGTCTGTCTGGGATCAGAGCCTGGCTTGCCAATCATCGTCTCCGTGCCGTAGTGAAGTTGCACGATCTCATTGTGTCTTTGTGGAAGAAACCCAGCTTCTGGATCAGACAGACTCCAGAACCTCAGGGCTCAGCATATGGCAGCTCTTTTTCTCCCTCAGCAGGGCCCATGGGGTCAGCAGGGAGCTGGCCACACCGTTACTGAAGGACCCGTGTGGGTTCTGTCGTCATTGTGTGGCTGTCGGGTTGTGCTGGCCTCCTGGAGCTGGCAGAGGAGAATGGAGAGAGGAGAGAGGAGGGAGGATGTCACACCCACTCCCACAAACACCAGTTCCCCTCACATCCCACCACGAGAACTGGGCGTTTGGGCACCTGGGAGTGGGGCTGGGAAGCGTGGTGAGGCTGTCAGTGAGGAGCAGAGGCTTTGGAGAGTGTAGTCTGCGACAGTCCGTCTGTCCCTGGAAGATGCTGGTAATGGTGTCTCTGTTGTCAGGTTGTTTGGGGATGTGATCACGTATCGCATTAATGCATAAAACTGCAGAGCACAGCGTCGGAGCCTAGCAAGTGGCTCATGGAAAGCAAGCTGTTGGTAGTGGCCTGTTACCATGAGTGACGTGTCTCACATTTCCCGCTGACCTCTGAGGAAAGGGCCTTCTTTCTCTCCAGTCACTCTCTCCAGCTGTACTCTGCCTGCCCCAGGCACTCCTTGTTCCTGCCCCTCCTGTTTGGTAAAACCTCAAGATGACATTGACCTTGTCTGCCCCACCTGGGAGCTGTGGAGGGCACTGGGGCATCAGGTGTGAGCTTGGTGCCCCTGCAGTCATTTCTGTGGGTCCCTTGGGCTGCTCAGCCAGCCTGTGAGTCCGTGTGCAGCTCATGGCAGCCCCTCAGCGTCTGTGCCTCTGCCCCCTCCTCAGTCCACATCTCCACTTGGAAGCCTCAGAGGCACCAGCGTCAACGTGCCTGGCAAGGATCCCACGGCGCTGCCCACTCCTCTCGCCTCCCCAGTTTCAGTGAGTGGTGCTGCCATTGAGGCAGGTTAGAAACTAGGTGTGGCCCCGAATGACTCACCCCTCCACCGCCATCATTCCTACCCCAGCCGTTCCCAGGCCTGTTCATTCCGTCACATTCATCTCCTGAATCCACACTAATAACTCCCCCCTCCACCCCCATCATTCCTACCCCAGCCGTCCCCGGTCCTGTTCATTCCGTCACATTCATCTCCTGAATCCACACTAATAACTCCCCCCTCCACCCCCATCATTCCTACCCCAGCCGTCCCCGGTCCTGTTCATTCCGTCACATTCATCTCCTGAATCCACACTAATAACTCCCCCCTCCACCCCCATCATTCCTACCCCAGCCGTCCCCGGTCCTGTTCATTCCGTCACATTCATCTCCTGAATCCACACTAATAACTCCCCCCTCCACCCCCATCATTCCTACCCCAGCCGTCCCCGGTCCTGTTCATTCCGTCACATTCATCTCCTGAATCCACACTAATAACTCCCCCCTCCACCCCCATCATTCCTACCCCAGCCGTCCCCGGTCCTGTTCATTCCGTCACTGCAGCCCCTCCATCAGACCCGTCCCACCCTCGGTTTCAGCTCATCCTCTGGCCCTGGGGGATGCTCATCGTCTCCTAACCGGTCTCTCCACTTGCTGGTGCCTCAGACCAGCTGTGTGTCCTGCAGGAGCTACTCAGGGGCTCAGGCTTGGTTCCAGGCAGTGACCACTTCCCCAGCCCCAGAGTCTCAGCCTGTGGCCACCAGTGTGTCAGGCTTCCTGTTGAAAGTAAAGTGGGCCTCCGGCCGTGGCTTGCTCCTCACCCGTCCGCACGCCTGTGGACTCGCCTGTCGGCGCTTCTCCTTCACCTGGCAGGAGGGGGCTTGCCCCAACCACAGCCACGTCCTGAACCAGAGTCTCGATCACACCTTTTCTGGGAAAGTCTTCCTTTGCTTACATTCTTCACTTACATACCCCCACCCCCCACCCCTTTGGGTAACTTCATCCTTTTTCTACTCAAAATAAAAGTATGTTCCAGGTGCCCTTGCTGGTGTGGCTTATTTAGTTCTGTCATCCCATGCACTGAAGGGTAGCTGGTTTGATTCCCGTCAGAGAGGAAGGGAGAGGGAGAAAGATAGAAACATCAATGATGAGAATCATTGATCAGCTGCCTCCTGCACGCTCCCTATTGGGGATCAAGTCCACAACACAGGCATGTGCCATTGACCGGAATCGAACCCAGGACCCTTCAGTCCGCAGGCCAGTGCTCTATCCACTGAGCAAAACCGGCTAGTGCCACTTTTTTACTTTTTTATTATTATTATTACTACTATTATTTTAGAGGGAGAGGAAGAGAGACAGAGGCCTAACAATCTGTTGTTCCACTTATGCATTGGTTGGTTGATTCTTGTATGTGCCCTGACCGGAGAGCAAACCCACAACCTTGGCTTATGGGATGACACTAACCACCAGCTGAACTGCTGAGCTCTCTGTTCTCTTTCCAACACCCTGTTTGTCTTCTCTGCGCCTGTACAACCAGGTCTTAAACTCTATAATCCTCTAAGAGTATTATCTGATCGGGGAGGTGTTCTTCTCCTTGTACTCTTTAGTCTCACTTCTGGTCTTTCATGCACATCTACAATCAGATCTTTGGGTTCTGTGGTGATGGGATTATATTGAATTTATATATTTACCGGCGTAGGATTGTTGGTTTTATATTATCAATCCTTCACTAATAGACCTTGGCTTTAATACTGTCATTTTCTCCATATAGATCATGTGTATTTTGCCATTCTTCACCAAACTGTTCCTCAGGCATACCAGACCAATGTGTTCAGCCCTGTCCGGGAGTGCTCACTGTCTCCCGAGTCTGTCCCCACTGGTCAGTCCCTGGCTTCTCAGCACTGTCCACTCATGCTCTGTAGTGCCCCTCCCCTTTCTCTGTGGCAGATTCTGGTGGTGCCAGTGGGACTCATATCGGGGGCACCTCCATTGGGAAACGCCGATTTTCCCTTCACAGTATTAGCCAAACCAAGGGGGAAGGACACAGAACTCAAGGCTGCCATGTGCGCCCAGGTCTCCTGACACCGGAGACAAGTTCAGGGATTTCCCAAAACTACCCTCAGGTTCAAAGATTTGCTATAAAGACTCAGAAAACGATCAAGCCCACAACACAGGCATGTGCCCTTGACCGGAATCGAACCCAGGACCTTTCAGTCCGCAGGCCAATGCTCTATCCACTGAGCCAAACTGGCTAGTGCCACTTTTTTACTTTATTATTATTATTATTACTACTATTACTATTATTTTAGAGGGAGAGGAAGGAAGAGAGAGACAGAAGCCTATCAATGTGTTGTTCCACTTATGCATTGGTTGGTTGATTCTTGTATGTGCCCTGACCGGAGAGCAAACCCACAACCTTGGCTTATGGGATGACACTAACCACCAGCTGAACTGCTGAGCTCTCTGTTCTCTTTCCAACACCCTGTTTGTCTTCTCTGCGCCTGTACAACCAGGTCTTAAACTCTATAATCCTCTAAGAGTATTATCTGATCGGGGAGGTGTTCTTCTCCTTGTACTCTTTAGTCTCACTTCTGGTCTTTCATGCACATCTACAATCAGATCTTTGGGTTCTGTGGTGATGGGATTATATTGAATTTATATATTTACCGGCGTAGGATTGTTGGTTTTATATTATCAATCCTTCACTAATAGACCTTGGCTTTAATACTGTCATTTTCTCCATATAGATCATGTGTATTTTGCCATTCTTCACCAAACTGTTCCTCAGGCATACCAGACCAATGTGTTCAGCCCTGTCCGGGAGTGCTCACTGTCTCCCGAGTCTGTCCCCACTGGTCAGTCCCTGGCTTCTCAGCACTGTCCACTCATGCTCTGTAGTGCCCCTCCCCTTTCTCTGTGGCAGATTCTGGTGGTGCCAGTGGGACTCATATCGGGGGCACCTCCATTGGGAAACGCCGATTTTCCCTTCACAGTATTAGCCAAACCAAGGGGGAAGGACACAGAACTCAAGACTGCCATGTGTGCCCAGGTCTCCTGACACCGGAGACAAGTTCAGAGATTTCCAAAAACTACCCTCAGGTTCAAAGATTTGCTAGAAAGACTCAGAAAATTCCCTGAAACCCATTATACTCACTATCATATTTAAGAGGACACAGATGAGAAGAGATGAGGAATGTGGGGCTGAAAGTGTTCCAAACACGAGGATTCCGTGTCCTTGGCAACGCCTCAGCTAGCCTCTGTGTAGGGCGGCATGAGCACAGGGTGTGGCCCACCCAGGGCACTCTTAAGACTCGATGTCCAGATTTCCATTGAGGTGTCACTGACCCTTTGCTAGTGGGACTCAATCTCCAGCCCTCCTACCCGGGACCCCTCAGTCCGCAGGCCGATGCTCCATCCGCTGAGCCAAGCCGGCCAGGGCCCCAACTTTCTAATCACAAGGTTGGTCTTTGTGATGTGGCCAGGCCTTACTCCGAGTCATCTCCTTACATTAGGGGCCCATAATGCATTGTCTGTTGTCATAAACCAAGCATGTCAAACGTTTAAATAAAGAAGGCATGCGGCCCGCTGGCTGGGAGTTTGACATACTTGTCATACGATGCTCCATCCGCTGAGCCAAGCCGGCCAGGGCCCCAACTTTCTAATCACAAGGTTGGTCTTTGTGATGTGGCCAGGCCTTACTCCGAGTCATCTCCTTACATTAGGGGCCCATAATGCATTGTCTGTTGTCATAAACGAAGCATGTCAAATGTTTAAATAAAGAAGGCATGCAGCCTGCTGGCTGGGAGTTTGACATACTTGTCATAACTATGGTACGTTCCCAGGGGCCCGCCAGGAATAACCAAGACACTCCTGTCACTCTGAAAATACCCAGAATTCAGAGGTTACATCCTTGGAGTTGGGACAAAGACCACACTTCTCTGTGGGGGAGTAGATGTTGCACTGTGCACTTCCTGTCTTCCATCAGGGTGGCATTCGCTGTCCCTTCCGAGTGTTCAAGTAGCAACGTGGGCTGTCCTTGCTCAGAGGAAACTCGGAACACACATCGTTATTCGGTACAGCCACGTCCTGTCTGTAGTGGTGGCTGTGTCTCCACAACAGACATTCTGTCCTCTCATCCAGGCAGGCTCGTGTTGTCCACAGTCCAGGGACCAGGAGAGAAAGAGATTACAGGCCTGGGAGTCAGAGGTAGCAAAGCACAGCAGACACAGGCACTGTTTTCATTTCCATGTTTTTCACTGAAATGCTGATTTTGTTTCTTCTGGGTGACATTACTAACAGGCCTTTTTGTGTCTTGGATTTCTTCAGGTGACAAAGAAAAATTCAAGACAACAGAATCTACCACTTGTGAGCCAGCCCTGTCCGAGAGATTCTCAGTCCAGGAACAACTAACGCAGACAGTTCCAGGGGACTCCCAAGGAGACCAAACCAAGGATCAGCGTGGCCCATCACAAGTGTCCCTGCAGGAAGGACACGTGAGACCAGGGACAGATCCTCCGAGGGAGAGGCTCCCTGGGAGCCCTGACCATGGCGGCTCAGGAACACCTGATGGGGTGTGTGTGAGGACTGTGCAGGAGCCAGCTCCTCCAGGAGGTGCTGTCCTTCACCATGGCTCACATGAATTACGGAAAGATCCCATGATCCAAGAAGAGGAAAATATCTTTAAATGCAGTGAATGTGGGAAAGTGTTTAACAAGAAACACCTTCTTGCGGGACATGAAAAGATTCACTCTGGAGTGAAGCCCTATGAATGCACAGAATGTGGGAAAACATTTATTAAGAGCACGCACCTCCTTCAGCACCACATGATCCACACAGGGGAGAGGCCCTATGAGTGCATGGAGTGTGGGAAAGCCTTCAACCGCAAGTCCTACCTGACACAACACCAGCGGATTCACAGTGGAGAGAAGCCCTATAAGTGCAATGAATGTGGAAAGGCCTTCACCCACCGCTCCAATTTTGTCTTGCATAAGAGGAGACACACTGGAGAAAAATCCTTTGTCTGCAAAGAATGTGGGCAAGTTTTTCGACACAGGCCAGGATATCTCCGACATCACATCGTCCACAGCGGCGAGAACCCCTATGAATGCTTCGAGTGTGGAAAGGTCTTCAAACACAAGTCATACCTCATGTGGCACCAGCAGACTCACACTGGGGAGAAGCCCTATGAGTGCAGTGAGTGTGGGAAAACCTTCTGTGAGAGCGCGGCCCTCATCCACCACTACGTCATCCACACGGGGGAAAAGCCCTTTGAGTGCCTCGAGTGCGGGAAGGCCTTCAACCACAGGTCGTACCTCAAGAGGCACCAGCGGATCCACACGGGGGAGAAGCCTTTTGTGTGCACGGAATGTGACCGGGCCTTCACCCACTGCTCCACTTTCATCCTTCATAAGAGGGCCCACACTGGAGAAAAGCCTTTCGAGTGTAAAGAATGTGGCAAAGCCTTCAGCACCAGGAAAGACCTCATCCGGCACTTCAGCATCCACACTGGAGAGAAGCCCTATGAGTGCGGTGAGTGTGGGAAGGCCTTCAACCGCAGGTCCGGCCTCACGAGGCACCAGCGGATTCACAGCGGAGAGAAACCCTATGAGTGCATGGAGTGCGGCAAATCCTTTTGCTGGAGCACTAACCTCATCCGACACGCCATCATCCACACCGGGGAGAAGCCCTATAAGTGCAGTGAGTGTGGGAAGGCCTTCAGTCGTAGCTCATCCCTCACTCAGCATCAAAGGATGCATTCTGGGAGAAACCCTGTCAGTGTAACACACGTGGAAAGGCCCTTCCCAAGTGGTCAGACTGCGCTCACGCTCCGAGAGCTCCTGTTGGGGAAGGACTTTTTGAATGTAAACACCGAGGAAAATCTTTTGTCAGAGAAAACATCCACCACAGCCTCTGATTGTACTTACCAGAGAGAGACCCCACAAGGATCTTCACTGTGAGAAAAGATAATTGTTGCAGATCATCACTGTCACATGAAGACACATTTTATAAAGTGACCCAGCCTAGAGCCTTATTCTCAGCTGAGGATTTCTCTATGAGGACATGCACCAAGGAACCCTTCGCCTCCATCTTTTTACTTAGTTTACATCGCAGTATATCTCAGGAATTTTTTTTTTTAGTAGAGAAAATGCAATGAGACTTCTCTGTTAAGCCTACAGCACTTTGTCGTGGATTACCTAGTTTACTTGGGGCAAGAGGAATGTTGTTTCAGGGGTGAAAGGCCTTGATCCTTGGTGTGTTTTGTATACATTCATTGTTGTCTAGGGTCAGGAGAGTTAGAAGTTGAGGGCAAGTATTTAAGAAAAGGATACACATATGAAAGGGCATACCAGTTAAGACTGTTAAGGCTTAGATTTTTTTAAAAATTATGTGATTTTAAGACATAAAACATTTTTTTAATTCCTATTTATTGTTTTATTTCTGTATTAGACTGTAAATCTTAAAATTCAGTAAAGTGATCCCTCTCTATACATTATTTGAAATTGACTTAGCTTTCCTAGTTTCTTTAACTTTTCATATAAATCTTAAGGTAAGTTTATCTATTCTTACCAAAAAAAATCTTACTCTCATTTTCTTAGAAGTTGATTTACAATGTAGGTCGGTTTGAGAATCAGCATTATAAACAAGTATATGATATGACTACATTTAATTAATAACTCTTGATTTCATTAGCATTTTATCTAGGTTTTTGTTTTTGAGTGGTAGTGGCATTGATTTTTAAATTTAAATTTTCCACACGATCTTAGGTAGTACACAATAATGTAATTATTTTTGGGGGAGTGGTTTTGGTAGCCTGCTAAACTCACTTATTATTAGCCATTTCTTTGGATAGAATCCTTGGGTTCTCTACCTAGAAATGTCAACTGCAACTAGTTTTATTTCTTCCTTCCCAATTTGTATACCTGTTATTCTGTTATTTCCTTTTCTTATTGCACTGGCTAGGACTTCAGTATGATGTTGAATAGGAATAGTAAGGAAGGACATCCTTGACTGGTTCCTGAGACCTAGCGGAGGGAACATTCAGTTTTTCGTCATTAAGTACCATACTAACTGTAAGTTTTCATAGTTTTCTCATCAAATTTATAAAGTTTCCCTCTATTCTTAATTTGCTGAGATCTTTATTGTTATGAATAGGTATTGGGTTTTTTCAAGTGCTTTGTCTGCATCAATTGATATGATCATCTGATTTTTTCCCTCCATATCCTATTGATACTACGGTATTGCATTGAGTATTGAATATTGAACCAGCCTTGCATTCTTGCAATAAACCCACTTGGTTGTGGAGTATAATTCTTTTTATATACCATATTAAAGCATTCCATTTGAATATATCTTGTTGAAGTTTTCTTCTAATTTCTTGAGTGATAATGATGTATAGTTCTCATTCTTTGCTTTTTAAAAACTCATCTGGTTTTGGTAAGTATGGAACAATTGAGAATATATATTTCATATTGGATAAATTGGATAATTGGTCCTCTCAAGGAATTGTTGCATTTCATCTAAATTTTCTATTTTGTTTGTAGTCCTGATTGAAATAATCTTTTATTTTTTTAATGGCAGCAGGATCTGTACTTATATCCCATTTTATCCTGATTTTGGAAATGTGTCAATCTTCTTAGACATTTATCAATTTCATTGACCATTTTGAAGAACCTGTACTTTATACCATTGATTTCCCCATATTCTTCTTCTTTTGTTCTAACTTCTGGTCTTTATTATATCCTTTATTCCATTTGTTTTGGTTGAATTTTGCTATTTGTATTTTTTTATGTGGGTGCTGAGATTGTTTTAAACTTTTTTTTCTTTCGTAATGTAAATATTAAGTACAGTTGAAAAACGGGGTATAACTACTCAGCTGTCTACATACGCAGATCAAAAATACACTTGGGCCCTAACCGGTTTGGCTCAGTGGATAGAGCGTCAGTCTGCGGACTCAAGGGTCCCAGGTTCAATTCCGGTGAAGGGCATGTACCTTGGTTGCGGGCACATCCCCAGTAGGGAGTGTGCAGGAGGCAGCTGATCGATGTTTCTCTCTCATTGATGTTTCTAACTCTCTATCCCTCTCCCTTCCTCTCTGTAAAAAATCAATAAAATATATATTTAAAAAAAAATACACTTGGCCCTTAAGGCAGATTTCTGCATATGAGAGGACCCACAAACTTTAAACCTGCATTATTCAAGAGTCAGCTGTTCCATAAACTCCCTTCGTGGCACTGTTCTAGCTTCATTCCATAAGGTTTAATATGTTTTGATTACAACTTGTTCAGTTCTATATATTTCTTGATTCCTTTAGAGACTTCCTCTCTGATCATGGATTTCCTAATGTTGGGAGTATTTCCTGCTATGTTTTTGTTTCTGATTTCTAGTTTCCCATTTGGCCTCACTGTTTAAATTTTTTAAAGTCTGTTTTATGACCCAGGATATGGTTTATCTTCTTGAATATTCAGTTTGGCTGCTTGAAAAGAATGTCCTGCTGTCATTGGGTGGTGTTTCTATGTATGTCTGTCCAATTCTGTTGGAGGTATTCAGATTTCGTATATCCTTGCTGAATTTTTTTATCTAGTATTTCTATCAATGGATGAAAGAGGGGCATTGAACTCCGACAGGATAATTGTAGAGTTGTCTGTTCCTCCTTTAAGTTTTATCAGTCTTAACTTCAGGTATTTCCAAGCTCTGTTGTTTGGTGCAAACATATTTAGGATCCCTATGTTGTCTTAGCGTAATGACCCTTTTATCGTTATGTCGTATCTCATTTTCCTTCTATTCATTTCCTTACCTTTGAAGCATGCTGTATCTAGTATTAATATAGGCAGTTCTGTATTTTTTTTAAATATATTTTTGTTGATTTCTCAGAGGAAGGGAGAGGGAGATAGAAACATCAATGATGAGAATCACTGATTGGCTGCCTCCTGCACTCCCCATATTGGGAAACGAGCCCGCAACCCGGCGTGTGCCCTTGACGGAACTGAACCTGGGACCCTTCAGTCCGGTGGCCCATGCTCTATCCACTGAGCCACACCAACTAGGGCTTAATTTACATTCTTTATTGTTGAAAGTATTACATATGTTTCCTTTCCCACCCCCACCCCATATAATGCTATGATTTATTACAGCAGAAAGAATCAGAGTATAACAGCCCAGGGAAAATGCACGAGGACTCGAATCCAGAGACCAGGGACTGTTTTCAATAGTCCTGCCTTGAAGTCACACAAGACATGCTGATTGAAGCTCCATTGAGGGACAGTGACACCGGATGGAAATGTCTGCCAGGGAAGCTCATTAGAGACTGGGGCCCAGGGTTCTAGGCGGCACTCCTACCAGCACGTAACGAATTCGAGCTCCCAGAAGAGAGCAGGTGTCGAGCATAAACCACTGTTTACACAGAACACGTGGGCACATGACCACCCCTTAAGAGTCATAACGGGTGAAGATTTGCATATATGTATAACCACTATAACCAAAAAGATCACCCCGTCACAGAACTCTTCCAAACGAGCCAGGATTTGTTTTTTGTTTTTTTAATGACATTTTTAGAGAGGAAAAGAGAAACATCAATTTGTTCCACTTATGCACTCATCATTGATGTCTCCCTTTCTCGCTAAAATCAATAAAGATAATTTTAAAATAACAGTTTTATTACCCGACTATTGATTGTGGAGAGGTTCTCGGTTGGGAGATTTTTTTCTTTTAAAATTATATTTACCCAACAGTTTATCCTGTTGCCTCCAAAGGAACTCAAGTTCATCAAATGTTGACACTTCTGCATACGTCCCCCAAGTAAACAGGTGTCTGGGTGGACGGGGAGCACAGGATGTGGGGGCAGAGGCACCAACTTCGGGGGCCATCACGTACGTACGCACGTACGTACGTACGTGCGTGATGACGAGTCCTGGGAGTGGCCCGAACTGGACAGGACCTTCAAACGGGCCTTTAGGGCTCACACGCGGTTCTGGAGTTTTCCAGCCGCACAAGGTGCCCCAGCAGCTTCCGGGGTCGCTTTACAACCCCTCACGCACTTAGTCCGCGCTCATCCATTGGCTGCTTCCTGACACTTCCTCGTGCTACCTCAGCTCCCGACTCTTCAGCTTCCAGCGCGTCCCGCCCCCGCCCAAGGCCCCGCCTCTTCCGGTTTCCCCGCTGCCATCTCATTGGCCCAGCGTCCTCGGTACCGGGCAGAAGCTCCCATCTCTGTTCCTTCTACTGGGCAGGCTGCCTGCGCCTCAGAAATGTCAACCAATGGAAACAGACCAGGAACTCCCCGCTCAGCCAATGGGGCGAGGGCGCGAACTATAAAAGGCCCGGTCAGCGCCGCCGGGGAGCTCCCGAGCCGCTGGTGAGTCGTTGAG